TGAAGTTGTTCGGAAATATTAATGCTCATTTTTAAAATTCTTTGTTTAATAGTATTTCTACTCATCTGTAATTCTTGTATTCTTTGGAGAATTTTTTCCTTATTATTGAAATCTTGGAACAAACTGGAAGCAGCTTTTAACATAAGTGTTTCTATAAACGTTCCGTCAGAAAATGGTTTCGAGTGTTTAGCAATCAAATAAGAAATTTCAAAACTCGCTTCTGTTATATTATTAGGAGTTTTCACAAATCTTGAAAACAAATTTGATTGTTTTCCAACATCTTTTAATCGTTGTGATCTTAATTCTCTTCTTTCGGCAATATTTTTTTCAGAAATTTCCCTGTGATTAGTTTCAAAATGTCGTTTAATAGAAGATGTTCGACATACAATAACTTCGGAACACAGACCACAACGACTCTTATCTCCATGTTTAATAAAGCCGTAATCAATTGTCCAAGATGGTAAAAAACTGCGAACATCCTGTAGTTTTTGTTTTTTTATTGGTGACATGTTAATGGGGTAAATAATTAAATCTAAAATTACACGATAAAAATTATATATATTTAAATAATGTTTATTTGTTAAATTAGTTCATTACCGAAATCAAGTTTACAGCTGTAAAAATATTTAGCATTAGAAATTGGTCGATGTTTTTCATTCACTTTCTATTAGAAGTATTTTCAATTAAAAATAACGGTAAAAAACTAAACACGACACGTGTTGTGTAAACTCAGAAAAACAATTATGACATTCACTCTTGCTAACTTCGCTCCAAATGAAATATGGATAATTTTTCTTACCCTAAAAACCACAACTTTTTTGTTTTAAAAAGAAAACTTCAAAGTTTACTATGTTTTTTCTTTTTTGAAATTTTTGAATACTCAATGCATTTTCAAAGCGGTTTGAATTTTTTTTCGTTTTCAATTTTTTGTCAATACTTTACTTACCCAGCATTTACACATACAAGTTACTTGCAAGCAAGTTTGTATAATATTAATTGTCAATTAGTTTTTCCAAATGTCAAATTACTTGCTATTATGACGTAGGCGTTTAGCAAGTTGATTTTTGAAAATGTCTTTGAGAAGAAAACAACTAGCAATATATATAATTGTTTATAAATTTTAGAAACCATAAGTTTGCTAAGTTTAATTTTTTCAAAACAAAATTCAAAAATTTTAAATTAAAAAAAAAAAAAATCAAAACAACAAATTTTTTTTTGTGAATTTCTCAATATGTCAAATTACTGGCAGCAAAATTTTCTTGCAAGTTGAACTGCAAGTAAACAAGCAAGTAGAAATATTTCAATGTGTTAGTAAAATTTTTGTATGTATTGCAACTTTCTTGCAAGTAACTTGTACGTGTAAATGCTGGGTTAGTGAAGTGAAAAAAAAACAAAAATAAAAAGAATATAACATTTGAATATGTTTGGTTTTGAATATTTGTCATTTCGCTATTAGGAAATTATCATTTTTAGGAAATTTTTCATTCAATCAATTTTTCAACGAGTTTTTAGATTTTTTATTAGAAAAAAAATCTATATAAAAATTTGTCGAGGCACAATTATAACGTGCCATCAAATTTTTTTTCCGTGCCAAGTTTGGCACGCGTGCCCTTTAATTGCCATCCATGATATAGACAATAATAAGCTTTGAAGCCCGTGTTTTTAATTTTACTACAATTGTAGCATTTTACTACATTTTGGCATTCTATACCACTTCAAAGCCATTTTTACTACTATTTTGCCTTTATTATTTGCATTTTATTTGGTTTATGAAAATGCCATTATTGTATTGTTAAAAGCACCACTTACACAAAAATAAGAAGACCTAAAAATATTTTTTGGTATATAGAGTTTTTGTTCTTCAAAATTAAAAATTATTTTCCAAAAAAAATTTATATTGTTGTTTAAGTTCTTGCTTTACGCAATATGTGAATTGACAATAACTAGATCAATGTGACACAAAAAGAAACTATCAAAAAACCAAAAACAAAATGTACCTACCTTTATCAAAGTCGAAAATATCAATACGTTGCGTAGGCGCGTAGCTCATTTGGGTGACTTGATTTTACATTTACGGATATAAAAACATTTTTACGCAAGCACTTGCTTGCATCCATTTAGTCAGACACCTTACTATTTATTTGGTGTTAATTTTTTTTTTTTCCTTTGTTCACTCCTAGAAGGAGCATAGTGCTAGTGCATGATTTCTCATGCACTAGTTTCATAGCGTCATAGGGTTTAACTAGGTAGGTGACTAGCCTGCCGTAGTTTTTATTTATATATTAATTATTTGAGGTTATTACTACGAAGGTCACTATTTATATTTCGGGTCCTGGCAATACTAGTGCTGCCAGGTGCAATCTGACACTTCCATTGGAAAGTTTGACATTTTTTAGGACAACTTCACTCAGAACGTTTTGTCATTCGAGCGCGAATTGTTTTGTTTACAGTGACTTGAAAAATTCATCTCGGTCAAAAAATGGAATTGTCCCGTGAAAATTTTCGTGCGATGATTTTTTACGATTTTCGGCGCGGATTATCGAGACAAGAGTGTCTCGATCAACTTGTTTCGACTTTTGGTAAACCACTGTAAATCGCTGGTACCAAGAGTATGGTTTCGGACGCCGTTCGCTCCAGGATGAATTTCGTGAAGGTCGGCCAATTTCGGTCGTTTTGCCGGAAACCATCGATGCTGTGCGCGAAATGATAATGATGGACCGGCATGTGACATACTGTGAGATTGAGGCATCCTTGGGCATTAGTTCCACCAGCGTACATAAGATATTGCATGAACATCTTGCCGTGAAAAAGGTGTGTTTTCGATGGATCCCAAAAAATTTGACGATTGCACAAAAGAAGGCTCGTGTCGATTGGAGCAAAGAAATGTTGAAAAAATTCAATCGCGGTGCGTCAAAAGACGTTTATAAGATAGTCACAGGTGATGAATTATGGATCTATGCATATGAGCCCGAAACGAAACAGCAATCGACCGTATGGGTGTTCCAAGACGAGCCAAATCCAACAAAAGTTGTTCGTGGAAGAAGCACATCGAAGCAAATGATCGCGTTTTTTTTGGTATAACCGGTCATGTGGCCACAGTACCTTTAGTGGAACGTAGGACGGTCAATTCTGAATGGTACACCACCATCTGTTTGCCGAAAGTTTTCGAAGAAATAAGGAAAACAAACAAGCGCCGGCGAATCATTCTTCATCATGACAATGCAAGCTCTCACAAATCAGCTGAAACAATGGACTATTTGAGCACTCAAAATGTCGAATTGATGGGTCATCCGCCGTACAGTCCTGATTTAGCACCCAATGACTTCTTCTTATTCCCTCACATCAAAAAAAAAATGCGTGGACAACGATTTTCAACACCTGAAGAAGCAGTCGATGCGTTCAAAAACCATGTTTTGGAGGAGTCTCAATCGGAGTGGAAAAAGTGCTACGAAAATTGGTTTCAGCGCATGCAAAAGTGTATTGATCTTCATGGGGAATATTTTGAAAAACAATAAAACCATTTCCAATGATGTTTGTTTTTTATTGCTAGACCCGAAATATAAATAGTGACCTTCGTATTTACTATTTATTTTTCTTAGTTTTTTTTGTTTTTAGCACTTTTCCAAAAAAATTTTTGAAAAAAGTGCTTATTAGTTTCACTCTGTGCGTCCGTCCGTCCGTCCGTCAGTCCGTCCGTCCGTCCGTGGACACTTTTTTTGTTTACAAAACTTCTACACCCTTGAAGATAGAAAGCTGAAAGAGATCTACACTAGAAACTTATTTCCGTAGAACAAAATTTTTACCTATCTCCCCCCCTCTAGAAGTTATACTCCCCCAAAACCCTAAAAATGGCCTTTTTTAAATATTTGTTACAATGAAACCATAAGCATTTTTGAAATTTTTCAAACGCAGAAAGGCAGTGGCTTGCTTCCCCTAGCGCGGTATACTATAGTTAAACTTTAGAAAAACAAAATGGCCGTTCAAATTTACCGTTATCTAAAGGTCTTTTTTCCAAATTTTTGATCTCGTTTTTCTTCTAGATCCTAGTCTGTAGAAGATTGAAATTTTAGGGGCTTTTAGATCTTAATAAATAGTTTATTTCGTTAGAAGAAAATTTTTTTCCATCTCCACCCCCTCTCAAGTTATCGCCTCTTGAAATTCGTAAAATTTGAATTTTTGACACCTTATATTTCCGAAACCGCAAGTTTTTTCAAATTTTTATAAACGCAAAAAGCTAACGGTAAATTCCGTGAAATTAAAAAATATAATTATTTTTCTTAACTCACACAATTAAACCTTAAAATAGAGCATTATGTTAACCCCTTTTTATATTAATTTTTGCTTTATTTCAAAGACTACATATATGCGTCATCCTAAATATAGGCAATCCTAGAAATAGTTTTATATATGAATGAAAATAATTTTAATAGTGTGGTAGGTACACATAGATTGTATTTTCACTTGTTGAAGGGAAAAGTGCTACAATACAAACCATTGGTTTGACCCAACTTTATTTTAATATCGAATATTAGGAATATTTGAAAATTACTTGTATAATATTTTTATTAGTATTGTATATTAAGTTATAATAATATTGAATATAATTTTTATAGTGACCTGACCGGGGTTTGAACCCGAGACCCTTCGGTTAAAGGACCGGTGCCATAACCACTGCACCAATGGTCAGATATTTGGTGTTAATGATAACTCTAAATTACTACGCTAAAACTCTCCATACTACTATTTTTACGACAAAATGCTACAGAAAAAGTTGAAATTAACAACACTGCTTGAAGCAGCCATATAAACGGGGAACATTTATATTACTACATCATGTTGTGTATACCTTAAATAGGTATGTACCGTATAGCAAAGTATGAAATTTTAAATTTATAACTATTACTTTCATACATTCGAATGTTTTCACCTAAATTTTATAAAATGAAAAATAAAATACGAAAAAAAATATTGTTATCAAAATAAAAGTAACAAAATTTTTACCTAACTTAATTTTATTTTATTTCAGTTGATTGTTTTTGATGCACTCGTTTGTTTACAATATTTCTTTCTTGACAAACAACTATTATTACCATCTATTTCTAAATAACAATGAAATATTTTAAGAATTTGGAAGCAAAATGCAAAAGAAAACTAACGGAAGGAAATGACATACCGTGAATAATGCCCTTACGACGTAAATTTTACAAAATATCAAATTCCAAAAAGTTTAGCAAAAGCTTGGACAAGTTGACATTGGACACTTTTCGTAAATGCGTTTTGTATGTAGTGGAGACCTAAAATAAAAGTAAATCAGGTATCGAAATAATCGAGCACGCTTTTCTTATACCTTATCATATAAATGTTGCCAGAAATAACCAATAAAAAAAACTAGCATATATTTTCAGCAATAAAGTACTAGTTATCAAGTTTTTTTTCTTAAAATGCAGCATAAAAATGCTACGTTTTTAATGATGTGGTAACGTTTTATAGAAATGAACATTTGCACAGAACTTTAAATTGAAATTTTCAAATAAACGTCAAAGTTGTATTGATATGGTAAAAATTGTATTCCAAAATGTATGTACGAAAAGCTTTGGTAATTTTTTTTACAGTGTAAATATATTAATACCGTACCTAAACCGTGACTTCAATAATGCCTTAAAAAAGATTTAAGTACGGTATTAAAAAGGTTGTATTACCGTCTCAGAGCTTTCAATACCTTTATATTGTAAAAAAAACTATTCAAAACTTTTTGGAAACATTGTGAACTTTACGTCGGAAGCGCATTATTGAAGTCATGTAAACTTTTTATACAGCATTATTGAAGTCACGCACAGTCATTTTTAATACCTAAAAAAGAAAATTGGAATTCTAGTGAACGAGCGAATTCTAGTGAATCCTTTCACTTTTGAAGAAGTGAACTAATAAGCTAAGTTCAATGAAGTGACTCGTTCTTTAAGATTAGTTCGTTCGCAAACGACACATGACTATTACTTAAGCAATAAAAAAAAATGCTTTGAAGACTTTTGTTCTACGTGAATTATCTATTCAGGGCGTTTCCCACCATGTGGCAAATAATGAAAAGGGGAGAAATGCAGATATACTCGTTTTCGAGCTACAGCCTTTTGAAAAAAAAAAAGATACCGAATTTTTTCTCCATATATATTAAATACTTAACTTTAGAACCATGTTTTGGCGAGCTATATCTCAAAAACAATGGCTCAAATCAAATTAATTGTAGGAAAAAAAATAAAGAGCAATGAATCATCTGTAAAACAAGCTCCCAATGATAAACTCTATATTGTATGGTGCCGAAGTTATAAGCATTTATTTATATGTTATTTTCTTATTTGCAACCTTACGTGAACCGCCCTGTATTACTTCATTTATTTAATAATGTTTAAACATTGAAAAAATATTGTCATAAAGGTAGCGTTTTGATTTGAGCAATGCACACGCATTTATTTGTAACTTCAATTTATAGTTACGACGAAATGTTTCATAATTGTAAAGGACATTGTTCAAGAGTTTTGTTTAAATTTATAAAAAAATTTCCTGGTGCATTTTTAATTCAAATCCCTTCAAACATATGAAATTTTTCTAAAGGTTTTGTATGTTTAAAATTTATACCGGATGTTGCTTGCAAAACTTCTTTAATAAAACTCTCAGAATTGTGAATTGTTGTTGCACCCAATATAACTTTATAACCAGCATTGTTCATTTGATGAACAGCAAGGGCTTCTTCATATGAGGCTCCACCAATTATGAAACAAATAACTTGTTGCGGAGGTCTCCTAAAAGAAGGAACATCGGAGCTTATATTAGGGTACATAGGATCCAAATCTCTTCCTTTAAATACTTCCTCAAGAATTTCTTTTAACAAACAAGTATGCTGAGTAAAGACGTTTTCAATTCCTTTCAATCCCTTAAAAACAAGTTTTTCAAATAACACCTAAATAAGTACACTAAATACCTTTATTAAATTCCTCGTGAGCTTAACTGCGTCAGCAATCCTTACTAAATTAAAAAGTTCTCCTTGTCGAGCATGCTGGCCAGCATACTCCAAAAGTCTAGGTACAACAAATGCTTTTCCACCTCTGTTTTTCAATGTCTGAAGCAAACTTAGAGTATCACAATTTGCATGTCTTTCGTATCTTAGGGCATAGAGACAAATTAATTTCAATGCATCGTCAAGTGAAATTTTTTCATCAGCTACTAATTTTTTCACTCGTTGCAATTGAGCTGAGTGATCTCCTTTACAAGCCATTTCCTGTTCCAGCTCGCTAATATCAAACAACATTCTTTTTGCCGTCAAATTTGATAATTCACCTACGACGCATACATGTTTAGTAACTGTGCCAGACATCTTTCTAAATTGAGGATACGTTTCAACAAAATTTTTCATATCGGCTATGCTTTCCACTTTTCGTTGGTCTTTAGCCTTTTTTTGAAATTCTTCCATCAAACTTTTTATTTTTGAACCAATTTCACCAAAATTTGAATACATGTTTGCTGCGTAAAAATCATCCTGTTCTGCCGATAGAACTACTTCTTTTAAATCTTTTGGTATTCCTACAACTTCCGATAAATCAACACGATTGTTATTTATCGACAACAATTCATGAACCATAGCTTGATAAGTCCATTGATGCAACAAAGGTGTCACTGGATCATCTCTTCTATCTAAAATAAGAAGCAGGGGTGGGGGGACCCCGTTATTATCATATGCATTAAAGTCAAATAGTGTAGACTCTTTAGTAATTTGATCATAAATTTGTTTGGCTAAGGTCTGAGCAGGCACACTTCCAGCGCGGTATCTAATAACAGGTTGAAATTTCAAAGATAGTAAGATTGATGTGATGCCTTGCAATGTTCTTGTAAGAGCTTCGGGTAACCAAGCTAAATGTGACATGCAAAATGGAATGTTTAGTGAAAATAAGTTTTGATTAACGCACAAGTAATCAACATATATTTCTTTTATTTCACGCACTGATTCACTTTCGTCACATTCTGCCAACATTTTTATATCAGTTCGAGGAATGATGTTGCTGAAATCTAAATTTCTTTTTAATATAAAATAATTTATAATTTAACACAACACTTACAAATATAATACGCTCCATATTTTGGACTGCGTAATTCTTCTGCCAACAAGGCTAAGTTTTGTTTTGTAGGTCTTATGAAAACTATACATTTTAAATATTTTAGTCTTTCATTTGATCTACCAGAATCTATCCTCTCAAAAAGGTAAACCTCTTTCTTAAGCATATCCGATTGGCTCAATGCCATTGATATAACACTAGTCTGAAAAGATCATATAAAAGGACAATTGAAAAGTAATATAAATTATTTACCGTTTCTTTGTCCATTAGAATAATTTTCATACCCGGGCCAGATTCATTTGTTATTTTTTCAATATACAATTTAACAGCCGTTACTACATTCATTGTAAATCCACATTAATAATTGTATTATAAAACTTCAATTAAAATTTACACTTTTCTTATAATAAGGCTAACATCAAGGTAATACACCCCTTTAATTTGGTAGCTTTGAGTGACGGTTGTTAATATTAATGTTTATTGTATGTAATTAATATTGAAACTGACACAACAGCTAAAAGTTTTACAATCAGTAAAAAAAATTTGAGAAAAACTTTTGAAGGCCCATTACCTGCGTTTACACGACCAATTTTGCATCAATGGTTGAAATTGGTTTAATTTGCTTAACAAAAAGCTTTGGGTTTGTTTGCAAAAGGAGTAAAGCATGTCAACCAAGGTATATATATGTCAAAGTAGTTGTCTATCTATATATCAAAGTAGTTCGACTTATTCCATTCCGTTATTTTTCGTTTGTTTTGCTTGCTACTTCCAAAATCTTAAAATATTCCATTTTTCTTTGAAAATAGATGGTACGAGTAATAAGAAATGTGTAGGCAAAAAAGATACAAAATATTGTAAACAAACGAGTGTATCATCAGCATCGAACTGAAATAAAATTAAATTAAGTTAGCTAAAAATTTTGTTATTTTTATTTTGATAACATCAAAACTTATTCTTCATATGTATTTTATTTTTCATTTTATAAAAGATTTCAGAAAGTTTAAAAATTCGAATGTATGAAAGTAATAGTTATAAATTTAAAATTTCATATCTTGTTAAAGAATGAAAGGTATGCATGCGAACTGTCTGGAATAATACTTTTTGAACAAAAAAAAAGAGAAAATTATGACATTGTCATTTTCTCAATGTTTTGGTTTAAAGTTTTTTCAAGTTTTGTAAAGTAAAATGTAGTGTTTTAACAACTTTTCAAATCTTACAGCTGTCGAAATATATGTTTTTCTTGTTTATGTCAGAAGGTTTTATTTTAGGAAAAAAAAATTTTCATTAACAATGACTTTTTTTTCTAAACTTTTCACTTAAAAATTAAATAAATTAATCAAAATAGGTTCGCAAATGGTTTTTTCTAAGTTTCACACGTACATATATGTATAATTCAAAATCAAAATTTTCGGTTTTTTGTATAGCAAAAAAATGTTTGTTTACGTTTGATGAATACGTTGAAATTTGACGTTTATCGCATATTTACAAAGTTTTTTCAAGTTTTCTGTCTGGTCTATTTTTTCTTTAAATTAGATTTTTTTTTATTTTTGAGAGAAATTTCGTCATTGTTTCTCTTTTTAAAGTTTTTGTAAATTTTATCCCAAACAGACTTAATATGATGTAGAAACACGCCTGATAGAAATAGAGGCTTGGACCCTAAGAGAATTAAGATAAATTTCCCACAAGATCAACTTTTTTCAAATTTTTAATTAGAAAAAATTAAAATTCAATCCTTTTCTACTTTACTAGTGCTTACATTCTTAAAGTTTTGTGTTATTAAAACATTAAAAATATTGATATTAAAAACCTTCCAGATTCTGTTCATTTTTTTAAGATTTCAATAAATGCTACAATACAAGAACAAAAAATAGTGCCATTTTCTTTTCAAAGTATTTAGTTGAATTTGGTGTATTTTTTCAAATTTGAGAAAATTTACAATTGAGATTAACAAGTTTGTTAATTTTGTATGTTATGTCTCCCAATATGCATACTTATATAATCACGTATATATCAATATAATTTTCATGAGTATATTATGTTGGTTAAATTTATATGCTTCATAATTCATAAAAATTATTGCATATGTGAATTATTTTTATATTAAAAGTCCATATAATTCTTTTTAGGCATATATTTGTGATTTTGATATTATTGAGAAATATTTTCACATTGTTAGTAAGGCTAATTCACTAATTAACCTAAACTACCTCATTAGTAACTTTAAAACTTATACAAATATGTATTTTTTGTTGTTGTTTTAGAAAAATTATGATTTTTGCCTATTTTCATTTCGAGTTTTCTATACGAAAAGTTGATTAAAACCTAAAAAGTTTGATATTGCAATGAAATTTGGAGTTTTCTGAGCAACATTTCAAACATTCAAATTTTAATAATTTTGATTAAATATATTAACGAGTTTTTTCCGCATTTTTTTTGTGTCGCCATGTCAGGCGATATCTCAGAGAATTGAGAGTAAAAAATGATAATCCAGTGAATAAAAAAAAAATTTGGAGCTATATATTTTAGTCTAGGGTACACGACAAAATATGTGAACTGTCACTCTCTCCTAGAGTCAATGCCTGTATTTTTGTCAGCCGCGGTAAACACATAAATCGCGACATATTTTTGTTATTTTAAATTTCTTATACAAAAATGAAATTTTGAGTTTTTAAATAATGTTAACAAAATTTTTAAATAATGTTTACCTCAATTCTGATTAATTTTTTTTTTCTTTTATTTTATTTTTCCAATAATGTCTTTATATCTAACAAGTCCCAATGCTCAGAGAGAAACTTGAAAGCACGATCTTATTTTATATGGGTTTTTTTAAATTGAAGTTGCTATTTTTTGAGAAGAAATGTTAAAATAGATTCATACTTTTATAAAGCAGGTAAAATTCCAAAATATATTTAAAAAATCAAAAAAGTATATTAATATTTTCATAAATAATTATTTTAAAATTCTTGAAACAGCGGAAAAACAACAAGCACAACCTTCGCCTTCAACGTTTTATATGTTACTGAAAGCCTTTTATTATTTTTAAGTGAACAGCTTTTTTTTCTCATAGTGTAAGTTAACTAAAGATATGGGAAGTAACTTTGGTGTCAAGTTGAAAATATAATTAATAAAATATAATTATTAAATATTGATATGAATACATATTAAAGAAAAAATTTTAAGAGGGAATTAGAAAATAATATCTAAAATACAATCAAATATTATTTGTTAAATACAAATTTTATATAAACTTCAAAATTTTACCTCTATTTTTATTTGAAAAAATATTAAAAACTTACTATCATTTATATCAATTACCTAAGAAAAAAAAATATTTAAAATGTTTGGAAATAACAATCATATATTTTTATGACCGGATTTGAATATTTTTTTATTTTTGAAATAAATGGTATTTTACCAAATGACTCAAAAATTCCGACTGTAAAAAAACAGGTATTTTAAAATTTTTGTTATTTATGTAATATTCTTTCCGTTCAGAATTAAGATCGGTCATACATACATATGCAGGGACATTTTATAAATAGACATTGCTCTTGTTTACCTGCTAATAAAATATGCAAAATTTTTGAAGCACTCAATATAACATGTTTGAAATAGTTTTAAAATAATTATTTAGAAAAAAATTTATTAGAAGTAGGTACATACATATTTATTTTTAATAACTTAAAAACTAACTGAAATTATTTGAAACAATTTTATAAGTAACGTATAAATAACCGAAATGAGATAATTCAAATTGTTGAAATGTGTCAACCTATATTACTTTTATTAACATTTTTGTTAGCCGACACTACTCAACTTACCTTATTGGGAAATACAAAATGTGCATGAAAAATCATACATCCTTCCTCGTTAACATTTGAAACCATACTGAAATATGAATTTCAAATTTTTTATCATTTTTTCTTTCCTCCTGCCTTTCTTTCTTTTTCGTGCAATAGAATTTAAATGGGAAGCTTTTTAAAAAATGTGTATAATATCCTGAGATTTTTTAAAATATTAAACTCTTTTTTACGTAAAAAAAAGAAAAAAATATGACACGATCAGTGGCATTTAAAGAAAAAACCAGCAACGAAGCCAAAAATTCGTAATATTTCGTAAGAAAAATTGAGTATTGGGACTTGACATTAGTTGCAATAATATTTCAAAATAATGTAATAATTGAATATTAATATGTGCAGAGGTAAATATGTACAAAATATTACGTATATTTTTATGTTGTTCTTAAATTGCCATGTCAGACAACGCAGATAGACTGCCATTAGTAGATTTAATCAAATGTAAGGAATAAAAAATTACGACTCAAAAATGTTTGGCGTTTTTTTTCTGTACAAAATTTAATTATTTGTTCTGATTAATGTTGTTTTATTAAGTTTTAATTCTGGGAATAATTAAAGAATAATAATTTCGTTTTGATTCGGTCGTTAAAGGAAAAAAAGAGCGCAAAAAATTAAGTAAAAAATTTTGTTCAAATTTAAAAAAAAAAAAAATAATTATAATTTTTATATAAAATAAATGTACCTTCATATATAATACCCTAGTATAAAGCAATTCCATAGTCAAAGTTTTGGGCATATTGTGAAATATATAATTTACATAATACGCACGTACATTGTGATTTCCCGGACAAAATTGTGGAGGTTAGGGATTTGAAGAAAGCTTTGGATCCCCATTAAGAGCACCTAAATTAAAATCAATATCGCTTCCAACCAGTGTTGTTAATTTTACCGCAATTATAGTATTTTACTACATTTTGGCATTCTATACCACTTCAAAGCCATTTTTACTACTATTTTGCCTTTATTATTTGCATTTTATTTGGTTTATGAAAATGCCATTATTGTATTGTTAAAAGCACCACTTACACAAAAATAAGAAGACCTAAAAATATTTTTTGGTATATAGAGTTTTTGTTCTTCAAAATTAAAAATTATTTTCCAAAAAAAATTTATATTGTTTTTTAAGTTCATGCTTTACGCAATATGTGAATTGACAATAACTAGATCAATGTGACACAAAAAGAAACTATCAAAAAACCAAAAACAAAATGTACCTACCTTTATCAAGGTCGAAAATATCAACACGTTGCGTAGGCGTAGCTCATTTGGGTGACTTGATTTTACATTTAACATTTTTAAAATAAACATATAAAAACATTTTTACGCAAGCATTTCCTGCTAAGCATCTATTTAGTCAGATGCCTTACTATTTGTTTGGTACTAATGATAACTCCAAATTGCTAAACGCTAAAGCTCTTCATACTACTATTTTTAAGACGAAATACTACAAGTTCAAATTAACAATACTGCTGCCAGCAAAACAGAATCTATTCCTGGTTGTTTGTAATCAGTCCAGAATCAGTCAAAAAAAAAAAACAATTTCTGTCTACATAGGAACGTAATGCATATAATTCTGTCCGGTATTAGAAAGTTTTTATAAACTTAAAGTCTTACAGCTGTCGAAACATCTGTTTTTCTTGTTGTAAGATATGTGTTAGCTAGTTTCAGTGAAAAAATTTCTCGTTGCTTGGTTTGAAGTTAATTAATTTATTTATTAAAAATCTGACCTATTTATACAAAAATTATACTGGCTAAATATAATTATTTCCGACAGAAATATGTAGATTAGTAAGCGATTTTACGCATTTATAAAATTCATAATTTTCCCATGTTAACTTACGTATCATATAGGTTTCAAATTTACTTAAAGTACAATATTAACAAATAAAATAAATGTATTTTTACTCCTACTAAAATATTGTGAGAAAGTTATGTATGGGAAAATATTTACATTAACTAACTATAATGTTTGCAAGTACATGTGCGTTGGTATTAGGTTTTGACA